CGCGCCATTATACAGTGTTTATGTAGATTGGCGTCAGCTCAAGTTTTATATCATCCATTTAAACTCCAATAAAACACTATTTTATATTAACTGTAGCTCCAATAAAGTCCTGATAACATGTTGGCATGACAACCAGATTACATGCACCGTTCTTTTTTACTTCAGTTCCAACTACCGGTACTGGCACTATCGGTATGAATGACTATTTTAACTTTTTTTGGTGAGAATCCTAAGCTGAATTTGCATATCAAGTAAAAGTTATTTATTTTGGTATGAACGCCATGCAAAACATATGCATGTTATGATAAAGTATTTTCACTTTAAGAGATTTATGCACTCAATGGAAACCCTGACACCTCCCACCTCCAAGTATCTGGGGCAACTATGCGGCTAATCTTGAGATATCGATGTTCATAGAAGCTTGAATGAGACAGGAATTTTCTCATGAAATTTCCAACCTGGGGAGAAAAACCTGGGAACAATAGTGTAGAGAAAGAGTAGGGTGGAGGTAACAAGGTGATAAGACATTCATGTACAAGTTATCCCAGGGAGTAGAGCATAATTTATTTCACAACTCAAAGTTATCCCCCCCCCCTCCCCCATACCCAGAGGTGGTGAGAGTCTGAGTTTATACTGACTAGAAAACAACAACATTTTACCAAATACGAATGCCACAAGCCTGGAAGGTGGACAGAGTGTACTTTCTTTTTCCACTGCTGAGTGTGCAGCCAACTGTGAGAGTCAAACCTGCAAACTCCACTGATTTTGGGTGAACATGTGAAGTATTAGTAACGCATGCATTTATGTACCGGTAAGTTACAAAAGTTGTAAGTCATATTTTTAATGGCCCAGCATACAATAAATATAATTTGGAGACGCACTAATAGAACAATTATGGTTTTAAACTGGACTATACACTCTGGTACAATACACATGTGGTGATATTTCTGGTACCACGTACCTAGCACTTGCACACAACCGTATTTGCTCTGGAATATTCAAACCATCAAATATAACTAAGGACCCAAAATAAAAGAATAAACCGAAACCAACATTTATAACTTGTATGCGCCTTTAATAAAGTAAGTACAGTAACCTGAACAGCAGTATAACAACATGAATGACCCACCCAATCCCTAGTGACAAGTCCTTCAGACAAAACACATCAGCTCTGCGGACCCTGGATTAATATAACAAAAGTTATTTAGACAACTAGTGATACACCAGTGATCCTATGATCTTTAAGTTTGCTCTAATTCTACTTCCTAACAAATTTCTCTTTTCATGATACTGAAAAAGTTTTTTTTTTTGCAAGCAAAAGATTTTTTTAGGAATTTCGTGAAATAAATAAGAAATGTTGTAATGGTCAATATTTCACCATAGTACATAAAACAGAGTCACAGTAACTTACCCAAAATGTGGTTCTCTGTGAATGTCTTGAAACTTTTGAATCCCAAAATTTGTGTACATTTCTTTGTTATTTTTTTATATTTCTAGCAACAATAAATTAAGGTATTAATTGAACTAAGATAAACTTGTGGAATGTCACGTAACTTATCATATTTTAATTCATGATTGTTAAATCTTCCAATTCATTTAATAGTTAACAGCATTGTGTCATGCAGGGCTTCAACCAAGAAGTTTGCCTTGGTATCCTTTTCTTTCATACAATGTGCTCTTAATATTACTGTAC